TACAACCATCTATAATACCTTAAGCTTAACAGTGCTGTCACAAACGATAGAAACTAACACATGGTAACTGCTTCTCCTCTCTGGATATCTAAACAAGCACATGCTCCTTGCTGATGGATCATCAGACAATGAAATGATTGACTTTGGCAATACTGGAACGGGAATATCATACTCCCATACTACAACTGTCATACTTAAACTCGCAGTCCCTTGATACCCACTACCCCTTAAATTATAAATAAATTTTCTGTTCAAGCCTGACTTCAAATTATTAAAACTAGACAATTCAGTCTTACAAGCTCTGAATGACGCTTGGTACGGGCATCGGTCCTAGGACCAACTTTACTAATCCTTACTGATGAAGCTTACTTTTACTGTTACCAATCTGTACCATTAAGAAATGTCGTAAGCTGTTGTATCCTTTTGTAGTTGATTTGAACTTACTAATGGGAGTAATGGTCGCTATCTGACAAATGTACTGTTCTGCTGAACGCCTCAACCTTTCAAACACGTACTTTGCTAGTAAAATGTACGAGCGACGGTCACTGCGCAGGTAGAATTCGCCGTCACAGGATTCGTTGTCTGGAATATATGGTTCTCCAAGACTGATTAAGGGGATCTCGTTTCTGATACGCAACAAACTGCTACCAGAAACAACAGGGGCGCAGTAAAGAAGAACGTCGCTGAACTAAACGAAGTGAGATTAGCACAACTGAATTCTTATTTGCCAAATGTAAGCAAAGAGTACCAAGAGTAAATAGCGGGGCTGAATCTCTTTCCGAGAGTGCTTCAATATTTCGCCCTCCTTTATCAGCTTTCTGCCTGGCTGAAAAATTTCATAACGTCCCTGGATACGATGCTGCAGTGCAAGAATTTTCTGCACATTGTCAGTCTCCTGAAGGCCAGCTTCGATATGCTCAGCAACGCTGTTCATTAACGCTCGAGCTTCTGAAAAGAATCAATAGTATTTTAAAATAAACAGAAAATTCAGTTCATTGACAGACTATTAAGGTGATGCTCAAAATCTTCCGGTTATAGGATTCGCAAGACACAGCAGTTATTAGATACGAAAAAGATCTCAACAATGAAAACATATGCAGTTCGCTTTGTATACGTAATGTGTGAATATTTCGACTCAATATCAGCATTCAAGTGTCGTTCTTTCAAAAGAGAGCAACTAACGTGAAATACAAGTCAATAGGCCACGATAACGAAGAAATGAAGAACTTTGTTTGGAAACATACTTTAAAAACTTTATTCTTCCGGCTACAAGTTCCCCCTTAACGGATGTAGTCCTTATCTGAAGTATGTAAACGAAATGAGCAACAGTAGCCAATTAGCAACGCTCGGTGCCTCTAATCAAAGTGTCTACGCATATAGCAATTGTTCTTTATTAATGTCTAGAGCAAATAGCTTAAAAGTAAATATTTTGAAACAATTCCAGAAGTAAATTTGCAAATCATATTAAACTGACGAAAATGGATGAGGATGAGAGTGGATCAAAATTTCAGGCTGTTTCAGCACTGTCATCCACAGAAAATCTTAATTAATGCCGTGAAACTGAGTTGCTGAAATAATCAAGAATACTGAGTAGCGAACTAGCATACTGACTTTCACGGTTGTAATAAATAAAAGATTTGTCTGGAATTCAGTTTTTTACAATTTTTATGCATGTGAGAGCTTAGAAGTGATGGAGCAGTCCACTCCAGTAGACTGAAACTGTGAAGCTCGCTATTCCATCATGATATCATTTCACGACTGAAGTGTCAAAAAGTTCTCGAGTTCGCTAAACTGGTTGGAGTAGATGAATAGTGAGGAGACGTTGGCAATAGCTGATGAGGGCTTGCCTCAGAATAAACTGCCAACCAATTACTCGCCAAAAACGCACATTAATATATGGAAACCGATAAAACAGTTGGTTCTGAAGAAAATGGAACTGATTGTTAAACTATTGAACGCCATCAAGACTTTCGTAGCCAGGCACAATGCAAGTACGCTATCGATAGACACAATTACCGAGGTCTACATCAAGAAAACGAGAAGATTACGTCTGACTTTATGTGAAGATGTGACACTTAAAGATCAACTTGCTGCGTGATGAAACAACGGAGTTCAAGTGTCCTTCGGGAGGGCCTTCGATAACAGAGGTCAGGGCGGCGAAGATGGGTTAGTAATAAAAATGAAGGCTGTACAGTACCTACTGAGCTATGATATTATATCACCTTGTACAGCAATTCTACTACTACAAATCAACAAAATAACAGTTAAAATAGTTAAAGTCTATAGCCCAACCCAGCAAGCTGATGACCAAGAGATTGAGCAGTCCTAAAAGGACAGAGACTGCATACACTGTTGTCCAAGGAGATTTCATTTTCGCATTTATCACAAAAAGACACTGGTATATATCGGCACTTACGGCAAGGCAAAAGAAATGGACGCGGAAATTGCTTGGCAACTTCAGATCAAAGCAACCACCTCCACGACAGGAACAGAGAAAAGCAACCATGAAATAGAGAAGTCCGGACAGAAAGTCTTTGAACCAAACCGACTATGCAGTCATTAGAAACGAATAATATAATACGTGTCGGTGATATGCAAGAACATCATCTGTACAGGGTCAGACCACAGGCTTTAACGTTCCACAGTATATTTGACGTCGAAAAACGAAAAAAGCGCAGAAGAGCCCAACATGACAGCTTTGTAGAGTAATACGGTTAGATCTGGAAGCTTTCACAGAGAAGCTGCCATTAATGGACCTGAAATGAACATCAGCGAGGGCATAGACACGGTTTATGACCATCTTGTCAATTTTGTCGAGATTGTCATCAGAATGTCAAGCAAACAGCAAATTTAGCTAAAAAACAATGCATCTGATATTCAACAAGGCAGTTAATCACTAAAAAGTCCAGATGAAAGCAATATCGAGCTGTTCAGTGAACCAAATCGCATCAGTATCCATGGTATACGTCAAGGATATATCATCTCCCCCGCGTTGCTCGCCTTCCTCTTCAAACGGCTGAACTGGTGCAACTGCATCAACACTGATAGAAAACAGTTCATGGATAAGCAATAATTTAATACTTTCAGAAGATAGCGTCGTCTTCTCACAAGATATGATGGGGACGCAACAATAGATTAAGCGGTTGCAAGAAATATCACTCACCATTCGTCTTGAAGTTAACCTCTTCAACGCGAAATGGAAGCGAAACGAACGCTGCCCTAGCGCTGTATCTCAGCGAATGGCTAAGAACTTCGACATATCCCGATCTATACATATCTTAGTCATCAGATGAACCGGAAGAACTCGCTAGATGATGAAATCAGCCGAAAAAGGAAGGCGCATTGGCCTCCTTTAATCATCGTAGAACACCATTATTCGACAGAGATGTGCATGCAGGGTAGAAAAAAACTGTTCGATTCAACCGTCCTACCAGCCCTAATTTACGCCGCTGAATACTGGTCTGCTACTAAAGTTGATGAGAACGAAATGAGGGTCACGCAATGTGCGGTAGAAAAATCAGAAAGACGTTCCTCCGGGATCATGTTCCGAGT